ACTTCAACAGAACTTTCTTCGAAAAGGCATAGAGAACAGGACAAGCAGCTTTTGCTCGCTGACAATGTTCAACAGGCTCTGTCCTGAGAGGTGTCTCAGTCCTCGCAGCACCAACACCGTGGGTGTGCCTGCGCAGCCTGCTGCACACCTGCACAAGTTACAGGAGCATCAAGAGGAGATTCCTGACCTCGCTCCCCATCTGCTAGTTTAGCACTTCAGCTACACCAGTTACAGTCAGACTACTGACACGAATCAAATGTTTCTCCCGTGGAGCTTCCCAAGCCAAAGCTGGGCTCTCTGGTACAAGAATACCCAATTCCAGCTCATTTCCTTCTCCACCAGCTGCTGCCTCTGTTCCTTACCTTTTTTTGCTGCACATGTTGTAACAAACCCTCTGTTACAATGCCAGGAAAAGTTCATTTCTGTGAATTTCCCCCAGACCTCTGAAAAATTCAAGCCAGGACCTTAAAATGGTGTGATTAATTTAAAACAGTCTTTAAAGAAAATCCCTGGTTCCTAGATTCTAAGCCTTTGGGCTTTAAAAATGTTCCCCAGAAGCAGGAAGACTGCACAGACTAGCTCCTTACTTTAAGTTTCAACAAAAGTCACATAATATGGCACCTGTAAGGAAAAACAGCAAACATCAAAAGTTGTGTGACAAGCTGATAGCTTATCACATGTGTCCAATCGACTGCAAGGGATGAGATTCTGGGGTCTCTGGAGCGCTAAGTCTTCAAAACGGCACAGCAGCTTTAACAAGAGGGTCCCACAAACAGTGTCTTCATACAAGCTTTGTAGTTCATGCAATACGTACCAGAATTTTTAAAAAAGGATTCACAGGAGTAGAAGGGAAATCTGTGGAGCATTCAGCAGCGTTTTGAACAGCATTGACAACACCCCTTGGCAGTAAGGCACACAGGGACAGGGAATGAGTGTAGAAAGGGTGATCAGCAGTTTTTTCCAAGAATGGAGGTAGCTGTAACTAGAGCTGAGTAGCTACATGTCAGTTACACATGAAGCTAAGGTTTTGTATTCTTACTTAGTCTCAAAACTTCTTAGTTTTTAAAAAAAAATCTGGACATTTCTGCATTTCATTTGAAAAACATGCCTTGCTACATCTACAACAGTAGCATTGTGTGTCTGCTTAGTGTTTAAGTTTATATAAAGACATAGAAAGTGATCTCTAGAATAGATTTTTCAGGCTTTCAAGATTGTCTATATTCCCATTAGGCTCAATTAATCCAAATATGACTATATCTGATTTCAGACTGAGGTGGGCTTTTGTTCAGGATACACTGTTACACTTCCTGACCAGCAACAGAAAACAACTTTCAAGACTACCATTTAAAATTATCTCGTCCTCAAAAATTTTTACCTTTTTTGAGGTCTAAAGTGAAATGGGCTTTTATGTTTCTCCTTTGTCCTGATATAATAAAAGCTTTTCCTCTCCAAGAAAGCAAGCTTACTATAACAGGGCAAACAAGAAACAGTACCAAGATCCCAAAAACCTTTAAGTATTGTAATGACAACTGAAAGGAGGCTCCAGTCCAGGTTTGACTTCTGGTTCCTGCACCATGCTATCACCCTCTGAGAAGCTAAACTCTAACGTCCAGTCACAACACAGAAGTTTTACTCAGAAGGGCAGGTTTATTTATGAAGTAGTCAGGCCAAAACTGAAGTCAGAGTCCCAGAAATTTCTCCACGTAGAAACCAGCTGAGGTAGGAACAAGGCTCAGTACAACGACCCTTGATCTGCCAGAGCTTCACGGAAACACCAGGGAGAAAAGCAACAGAAGGTCCTTTCCTCAGTTCTTTGGCAGCATCGGCACTGGCACATACTTCTCCCTTCGCTAGAGAAGGCACACTCCTACGTTGTGCTTGGAGGACACAGGGAAGAGGCTAGCAGACCTTAGACTACAACGGCCCAAAAATGCAGTGCTTCTTATGACAAAGATCCAAACAGCAGGCAGAAATTAACTCACATAAAAATCCTAAAATGCTCTGCAAATGATTCTTTTTGTGTAACAAATCTTACCGTTATTTCACATTCATTAAATGAATTATTTTCAGCACAAATGTGTACTAGTAAGAAAGAAGATGATGCTAAATTAGCATGGACTGGAGGATACCTGAGACAAAAATGAGTTATAGCCCTGAACAGAAAGGCAAATTTGGTGCTTGTCATTAAAAGTGCAATTGATTGAATTCAGTTTGTGTGTCAGAATCACCATTAGAAATTCATTATTCATACCTACATCATCTAATATTCATAAGCCTACCAGCAGAGCACTGTTTTCCATGCTTGTTCCGTTAAAACATTCACATACTGTCCCATAGGAATCCTGACATATAAGTTCTCATTCAGCAATATCCCAACAAATGACAATTTACAGAAGTTGCAGTCCTTTTAGCTGGCTTGGAATTCTGTCAGCTATAGATCATGAAACATAACAGTCAAGTATTGAAACAACTGAGAAGTTTCACGGCTTTTCAAAAGATTGAGAGTCACTGTGGCCTTCAGTCACTTCTCCATGGCTCAGTGCCAGCTGTAGGCCACTTAAGTGAGTATCACTGTTAGACTAGTAATACCTGAGAAAAGAAAAATTATGAGCTCCCAGTATTCCATTCCTGATGTTTCTCAACTAATTACAACCAAAAGTTCCCACGGATGCCTTGACATTTCCTCCATACTATAGCATTTTAGTTAACTGGGTTTTTTTCCTGATGATAGATGACTTTTATATCTGAGCCTCATCTGAGGTTTGCTTTGCTTGTCAGGGAACTTAAGAGTGCAATACTGTGGGACATTATTCAAATTTCAAAGTAATATTTTCTACTCTTCTACTTCCAACTTCAGCTTCACATTAGAAAATTTTCCTGGCTGCATAGTAATTTCTTACTGACCATGAAAGCATCATATGTGACACATGTTCAAAAAAAATCAGACATAACTGGTAATCACTACTCCATGTGCCACTTACCATCAGAAAAAGCAAGTATAGGATTCATATACTGGGTACAAATGACTGTTTCATATTGTAAACAGTGCACCATGTTAATGAGTTTGACAACCACTGTCTTCTACTTTATATTTTATAATACACATACTTGTGGGTTCTTACATTTCTTATCCCAACTTTACAAAAATGCAAATAAACACATAAGATGCAAAATTAATGAGATCTCCACATTTTGAAAACAAGTTGTGGATTTTCTTGTTAAAAGGTCAAGCAGTGAAAATTGAGTTGGATTTGCTGCTTGAACTGTCAGCAGATGATATAACTTGAAGTCCAGAACAAAACTGACTTATTTAAATGATATTTATCTAATTATGAAATGCCTCAAACTAAACCAGGCATTTTCGTCATGTTAAGTACAGTTTAAAAGTAAACAGCCTAAACATGAGATTTCTGCTGGGTCAAGCATACCCAAGAATTCACACCATCAGCTAAAAACTATAAGAGTTCTACTTAAAATGCTGTGATTTACACTAGGGAGTTTGAGTAAATTTAATTAGTTTCCTACATTTCAGCAGAGTATATTAAGAGCAAATGAATTCTCTCAGTGTAAAACAGTGAAACAATGAAGAACAAATGAGTTAAGCCATCTTCATAAATCAATTCATGCTAAAATATGTGCTAATCCCAATCTGCACCCTCATTAGATATTACCATATGAGTACATTCAGCAATTTTAATTTAAACTGCCTGCAGTTAAACAGAAAAGGGCAACAAATCAAGAAGTGTCATCATTCACATTTGCTATTCCAGCATCACATCGGTAAAGAAAAAATGGCAGAACTGCCTCAAACAATGTTCACTGTGTCTTCTAATATGCTACTATTAATCCCCTTACACAATTCACTTATTGTATGACACCGACTGAACATATGCAGTCCTCATGTTTGTGAGGAAAAACAGGAGAGGAAAATCTTTCCAGATTTACAGAGTCCAACGATTTAAAAAGTTTTCTATTTACCTTTAAAATAAAATAGAATCATGTGGAATTACTAATAGATGGCTCTCTAGAGGGTAGGAAGTTAATCTGAATATGCCTGAGGCATTTACTCAAAAGTTCATTCCACGTTTTGAAATTCAGATCTCTCACTAGATTGGATTGGAAGTGCTATAAAAATAGCTTATTCTCTTTTTATTTCATTACTTCCACAACTCTGCCCAAGTCAGTCTTCTAATTATTGAAAAGCATTAAAAGACAAGGATTATTTCAACTTCTTCAGTTACATAAGGATTCAAGTGGGCTAAAAAGATTATGCTCTGCAAAGAGCATATTTCTACACAGAGAAATATTTGCATTGTTGACAATGGATATTTCACTTATTAGGTGCTATGTCCATTTAACACACCATTTTTGCTAACAAATTAATAAAAATAGCCAGAAGATTTATTATTTGTTTTTTAGTGAAACTTCATCTCATCGAGATTTTTTGAGATATTGGCTGAATATTCAACAGAAATTATGTTCTGAGGTTGAGTTTAGATCCTTAAGCCAATTCGACGGTATGACAGGGACAGAAACTGAAATCAGAAACCTTAACTTTTCAGTCTGAAAGTGGAAATCTTGATAATTTCCCTAGAGTGAAGTAAAATTCAATAAAAAAGCCTGAAGATTGCCTGCCCAACAGAACTATCCACCTCCAGTTAGCTCTACAATTAATTGCCTATCCCAGAAAGGGACCCCTCCAAAAACATCACTAAATCAGGTGTTATTCTGGGAGCGCAATCACATTTTAACCCAAAATCAAGAGTCAGATATTTTACAGAAGACAGTAGAAGTATCATCCCCATCTTATAGACAAATGCATACAAATGGATTAAACAACATTTTCATGGTAATTCAGCAAGTTTGTGATCGAGTTGTATCTATAGCCATGTTTCAATGTGTGTACCATAGTCAGCCAATCCCACTTCTTTACTACAGAATCATCTCCTTTGAAAGACCTTGTGTTTCTGGAGAAGGAAAATCTGAGAAAGCTCTCTTACCTGGCAAAAAACGATGCTGCCACCGAGGTGCCTGTGGATACTTCACTGGCAACATATGTGCTCTGGGAAGCGGGGAAGCTGTACAAGGAGGGTTTATCTGCATTGTAGCGGTTCAACGCTGCTTCAGTCAGACCCTCTCGACTAGTCTCTGTCATAAGCTGAGATATCTGAAGACAGAAAAAACAAAAGTGTCATCAGCTAAAGCTCACTAGCTGAACTCTTCTCATCCAGAAGAGCCTCTGGGTTGCAGATGGAGTAAAAGAGGCATTTCATTCACTACATCTTTGCTGCTCTGTGAATAAGTTCATTGCTTCTGTCATGCTAATCTACAGTACTTTGGCTCAGCTCTAACCTTGTCTGCATTAAAAATAATGGGATAAATTCATCCTGTCACTAGAAATGTCAATAGCGTCTATAGCTTCCCATCCATATGGAAAAGAAAGAGTAAACGATAATCCTTGCTCAGTTTTACTTCAGGGTACAAGAGAGATAGCTTAGATATGTGTAAGATATTCATATTTTACTTCAGGAAAAAAAATACCATTTGTTTGTCTTTGTAAAATAACACTAGCGTTTTAAGTATTTATGTTGATCTTTCTCCAGAAAAGCCAGGACGCAGCATAGGAAGGAGTCCCTTGGAATCCTAGACTATCATCTCTGGAAAATTGGGATCATTACCACTCACTTTCATGGCTTTCTTAAAAGGTTTTAAACTTCCTGTAATTTCATTCTTCTGATGGCCCACTTAACATTTTTTTCCCCCTGTTAGGAAGCCTCATCTCAGGCTTTCATTGTCTAGGAAAAGAAATGGAGTTCAACTAGACTTAACCCAGTTCTCCTCAAATTAACTGAACGATCTTTATTGACTTCAGAGAAAGCTAGGTCACCTAGGTCTCTATTGAAGCACCTCCTCAAAACTTTGATTTCAGTTTCTTGACTATTACTTCTGTATGAATTTACAATGGTGTAATGTAATCTATTTTACTTCCTGCAATTCCTAACAACTTTCCTTTCCTCCTTCCCTCATCTTGATCATAAATAGCTTTTGTTCACCAATGCTCATTGCAAAATTGCAACATATGGCTAAAAAGAACCCTCCAAATTATTGCTAGCAATTGTCCAAGGCATTGCTTCCTTCCTCCTGCAAAAATTTGCAAAAACCAGTCTCTCACCTGTTCAATTTCAGTTCTCATGCTTACCTTGATCACCACAGTAACAACAGAACATTTTTGCAAGGCATATCAAGAAAAGTACTTGAGATGATCCTGTAGTTCTTTTTCAGCTGTTAAAAATTTAAGTTATTAAAGGTAAAGTTGAAGAGCTGTGATTTATATTTGGGAGGGGAAAAGACATGTGACATGGCAACATTTTTTAGACCAACTATCAAGTCACCTTTCTTTCTTTTATAGAGTACTGTTACCCATTCTACTATGGCTAAGAAGATAATCTAAGAGTTCAACCTTATTTTACATATTTTTAAGACAGCCAACTATAATACTTCAACAAGAAAATGCTAAACTAGTTGCTCTGTTTTATGAGGAACCAGAAAAATTGCTGAAACTGGCCCTACCATGTTAGTCACACACTGAGCCTTTCTAATTTACTCATTCACTACATTGAATGAGCAGTGCTCTCAGAAGGCTATAGCTGAAATCCTGGACTTAAATCATCTCAAACTACTGTTAAAACACAAGAATTTAGGCTGGATGCCAGGATACCTCCCGCATTTCCAGCGTGCAGGCACACAGACATATTTTCTTCAGGGTTCTGCTAATCTATGTATGTCCACTTGGGGCATACAATAAACTTGAATTCACTAACAATAATTTCTTCAAATTTTCCATAATTTTTGCTAACTCAGCTATTATATTTACAGTGAACTAGCACAAGATTCAGCTGTATCCCCTCAAATTATCCTGACACCAATTTCAGCATCTATACCATGTTGGAAACTGCTAAGCAGACACATTTAAAAAGCTCTCCCTTCACGGCAGAGTACACTTACAAACCTAACCTCATCTTAGTCATCCAATTCATATACCTGAAATCAAGGATGGACCATCATTAATCGATTGCCATTACTGACACCGTCATCAGGAAGTTCTACTCACTTCCATGGCAACCTGACAGCAGTTAAGAAGTTGATGAGTTGACTTATCTCAACTGCAATCTCAATTGCAGCCATAACCTCGCCATCTTCTGCCAAATAAAGATTTGCAGCTCCAAATATGAATTTCCACAGTCAGTGCAGCACATTTCTATTGGTGTCAGATTCCCTGAAGTTGCTAGATGGTGAGACTTGAGAGAAGCATTTCAGCTAACTGCAAAACAGGAAAAGATTGTGTGTCTTGGTGTTTGGGACACCCAGAAAACATCCATCATGATGTGGGCATAAAAGCAGTAACTAAATGGTTTCTGTGATTATAGGGACTTTCAGGTGATCCATGCCCATATCTACAAGTCCTATTAATGGGACCAGCGCAGCGTAAATAGAGCAATAAAAAGCCTCAAACTGATTGTGGACACTTCCCAAAAGGTACTTCTCTCAGGCTTCCTTAAAAGCTGATTAGATGCTTGGTTCATGAGCTTTTGAATAACTAGTTCTTAAATACAAGCACTCCAAAATAATCAAGTACTGACTCACCAAAAAGACAAGAGATTCTTTTAGAAAGATGTAAATATAAAACATTCCCCCTCACATGTGCACTCAGAGAGAAACAGACATTAGTCAGCAAACGGAACGTTAACGCTTTTTAAGAAACGCGATGAAGATCTTATAAAGCCTGTATTTAGGTCACACTTTCTTATAGTAAAATGCAACGGAACTGAATAAGAAACTGGAAATAATCAAATACATTTACAAATTCTGTATTTGTGGAGTACCACACTAACCATAGGACAGAGAGAGAAGAGATAAATAATATTCATTTTAGGAATTGCATATACTATGGACAAATGCAGAAGGGAGTTGCTTCTATATAAACGTAGGCTCTTCAGTAGTACTGCTATTTTATCGCATATCCTACACAACAGTCCAAGTACTACAAGCATGGTCAGCTGCTCAAATTGCAAGCTGCAATACATCTGTATGGTACTGACCATCAAAGCTTGCTGGAGAGGCAGCAGCTCTCCTTCCTGTTCATTCACATAGCTTGCTTTGTTGCAGAAAACAGGAAGCTACTGTTGATATTGATGTATTATCTGTGAAAAGCAGCATTCCCGTGTAACCAGCCACGTCAGAGAGCCCTCAAGCTTCCCTGGGTGGACACACATAATGGGGCATGATAGACTTGTTGAGCACCTTCTCGGTCCTAAGGGTCCAGCTCCACCGCCTGGTTTCCTTACCCATGCTGGTTCACTTCCTGGGCAAAAATGCATTTGTCAGTGTGAGCTCTCTCAGAACTGAACTCCCAAATGCACATACTGTCTGTCCTTGAGCTCTGCTGATTTACAAGGGTGCTAAAATGGGAACATACTTTATTTTACCTAATGCAAGACATAGACAAATTAAGACGAAATAAGAACTGGCTTAAGCCACAGTCCAGGATTTCCTAACTGAGAAATGGTTTCCAGTTTTAGCACTTGTTTGCTTTGTCTGCCAAAGTGGGATTTTTCAATAGTGAAATGTCTCCAGAAGCAATGAAAGCTGAAATACTTCCCTGGATTTCAAACATTCTACTGTTCTTTATCTGGGAAGCCTGCAATATCACTTGATGTTATACAGTTCAAAGTCCACAGAAGCACCTTGTGATACTGTAACACTCATAACCTCAAGCAGAACATCAGGTTTTGCTTGCACTAGTTCCTCAGGACACTCTATTGCTATCTTTTCCTTATACCAAAGCAAGAACAGGATAACAAACAAGAACTTGATATTTGATTATGGAATTGTCCCTTTGGTCATGCAAACAGCAGAGATGAAGGGCAAAGACAGTGCTATGCCAAATTCTGGGCCACATAGGGAACCTTTTTTGTCAAGTACTTATCGGAGTATTGTACAAATTTGTGCAGTATAAACGTCTGGGTCAATCCACAGGATGAGTACCTCACTAGACCCGTGCCTACAATATTTGACTAATAAATCCTCATTTATTCTCAGAGTTCAATATATACACAAAGTAGTGGGCAGAAAGAAGTTCAGATGAATTCATATGTCCAGGGACTACTGACTTCAAGTCAGTTCTATTGCATTTCTTTGTTTTGCCTCATAGATCAGAGAGCGTAGAAATCATTTAAACTATTATACCAAACTGAAGAGTGCACTTTGGAGGTAATCTCCCCGTCTCATTTACTTTGTCCTCCAGTCACAGTACCAAATTATCCCTATCTCCTCTGCCACTGCTTGCTGAAGTTCACACATTCACAACCATGAGTAAATGCACCCAGAATAGATCAAGCATTTACGGAAAAATACTCACAGAACAGACATTTCCAAAGCTCTTAGATAATTTCTTTTTTTCCTCATACCAGATCAAAAGACATTGTTGAAAATCACACTTTGAACGTTAATAAACTCGGGCTCTTCCCCTACCTTCCCCTCACCCCCTCCAGTAATGTATGCCTGGCGAGTACATTTCACATAAATCTGCCTCTTCAGTGTCACTGTTTCACTGGATAGTGTTTCTGGATTTAATGGGGAAAAGAAGAATAGATTCCGCGATTCTCTTTCCGTTCTCTTCTGTGAGTACCCACATACCATATACATGAGGTTTAAGATCAGTTAATAGGATATATTTTGAGAAATTCCTTTATTGAATTGTTGGCCGCACATCACTGCCTGGATAAGAAACAAAAAGACAAAGCATGGAACAACACAACCTTTCATGCCTCGATAAAAACCTTTTAAGTGCACACAGAACAAGACAGATGTCCCTCCCGTAATCCCATTTTTTTCTCCTGTCTCATAAAAGCAAAGCATCCACTAACCTCCTCCTTCTGACAGTATATAGCAAGAGCTGGAGATAAGTCATGATTTAAATTCTCTACTTCATAGGAAAAAGATGGCTCTGGAGTTAAACCACAGGTGTCAGTCAGGCTAGATTCTCTTCCAATTAAAGAGTCACTTTGTGCATAAGACTTGGCATCATGCAGTATAAGGTTAATTGCATTTATATAGGGGCATTTTACAGCCAAGCTCATTAATATTTCTAAAGCTCCTAACTGAAGA